GACACGGGGAAGGAGAATCCCCAAATTAAGTGCTGGAACTCAGGATTTGCAAATCCTTCTCGAGCATTTCAGTCAGGAGGAAGAGGGGATGCAGATAAGTGAACATCACATTCCCCTGATTTTAATGTCTGTATCCTCAGGCTAGGAGCAGGCTCTGAGTCCTGCCTGGAGCAGGAATCTCCCTGCACGAGGGACAATCCAGCCCCACCAGGGCCACGTGGGAATGGGAATGGGCAGGGGAGCATCAGGGAAGCAACTGGTACATGGTTAAACCAGTTTCATCATTTTTCCCTGATATCCAACCTAAACCTTCCCTGGTGCAACCTAAGGCTGTTGTCTCTTGTCTTGCCCTTTGTTCCCTGGGAGCAGAGCCCAACACCTCCCTGGCTCCAACCTCCTTCCATGGATTTTTTAGGGAGTCAGAAGGTCCCCCCTGATCCTCCTTCCCTCCAGGTTGAGCCCCTCCCCAGGCTTCCTCAGCCTCTCCTCATCAGGCCTGTTCTCCAGGATAATCCCATCACCTCCCACCATCAGCACATTCACAGGCTGCTCAACACACTTGCTGCAAGAATTTCTAGGAAACTCTTCAAGCACAGAAACTTGGCTCCAGTGAGAAATAACCCTGATTAATATGGGGATGCGTCTCTTGCTCATTCACACCGATAAACTAAGCGGTTGTGTCATACAGCAGTGTATTAAAATTAATTTCCTTCTGCTCCCGTGACTTGGGGCACGATTCTCCTAATGAGGCATATTAGCATTAGGAAGCAGAGCAACAGGAAAATAGCTGGGATTGCTGAAGGAAATTGGAACCAGGGAGTCACATCAGTCTCAGAGACAGAGCACACACAGACACACCTCACTGAGAGCCCGTGTGATGCCAAAACCGTAAACGAGAAGCAGGAGAGGGTCACGATTCCTTTGCTAAAAAACAGAGTAAGGCAAAAGCAACTGGGTGAGGGAACCCAGCTGCTCTACAGACAAAAAACGAGGGCAAGCTACGTGGTCTCAGGACACCAGAGATGAAAAGATGCTCCTGAAGCCTGTAAATCACTGGGGCTTGGAACTGGCACTGAAACCAGTGGGACAACGGAGGGAGGATGGAAATGGAGGAGCTGAACAAAACCATGGACACCAGAGGACAGAAATGTGGGAGTGTGTGTGGATACACACCCAAGGACGCTGGAAAACAAAGCCACAGGGTTGTTCTTCCAGGTGACAAGATGCTCAATCTGCTCCAGATGTTCCTTGCTCCCTTTCCTTTCTCTGCCCTTCTTTTAGAAAAATCAAATGGTTTAAGACGCCACCAAAGCCCCCTTTTATCATCATGGAGTCACAGAAAGGATTGGAATGGAAGGGACCTTAAAGACCAGCCAGTTCCATCCCCTGCCACGGGCAGGGACACCTCCCACTAGCCCAGGTTGATCCAACCTGGCCTTGGATGCTTCCAGGGATCCAGGGGCAGCCACAGCTTCTCTGGGAAATCCAGTCCAGCCCCTCCCCACCCTCCTAGCCAGAAATTCCTTCCCATATCCCACCTATCTCTGCCCTCTGGCACTGGGAAGCCATTCCCTGTGTCCTGTCCCTCCATCCCTTGTCCCCAGTCCCTCTCCAGCTCTCCTGGAGCCCCTTCAGACCCTGCAAGGGGCTCTCAGGTCTCCTTGGATCCTTCTCTTCTCCAGGTGAACATTCCCAGCTGTCCCAGCCTGGCTCCAGAGCAGAGGGATCCAGCCCTGGGAGCAGCTCTGGGGTCTCCTCTGGACTCTCTCCAGCAGCTCCAGGTCCTTCAGGAATGCTGTTCCCAGGGCTGGAGGCAGCTCTGCAGGGGGGTCTCACGAGGGAAGAGGAGGAGAATCCCCTCCTCCAGCGCTGCCCACACTGTGGGATGAGCCCAGGGCACGGGGGGGTTCCTGAGCTGCAACGGGTCACGTTGAGCTTCTCCTCCACCAACACCCCCAAGCCCTTCTCCCCAGGGCTCCTCTCCATCCTTTTCTCTGCCTGGATTTGTGTCTGGGACTGCCCAGTAAGTAAATAATTAGGACAGCGTTGGGCACACACGGAGTCAGTGGTGTCACCACTGCCATCTCTGCTCTTTCACTGCAGCCAAGCAGCACCATCAGCCCGTTAAGTGGGCAGCCAAGAACACAAATTTTGTCTCGAAAGCTTAATGTGTGAACACTTCAATAACACCTTCACATCTCAGTCAGTTTATACAGCACAGGGAAGGCTGTTCTTTGCCTCCTTTTGTTCGGCTCCCTCATATTGCTTTGCTGCTGTGGAACATGTAATAACTAATAGCTGATGTGCTATCCCTGACCTAGAAACACTGGCAGCTGTTCGGGGAATCGCCGGGTTTTGGGGGAGTATCAAAAGGTTTTTAGCACATAGAGCCAAATTTATGAACAGATATTCCCCTGGAGAACAGAACTGTTAATGTTTTAGCATCGCAGCTGTCACTGGTGCACAGTTATTCTGTCCTGTATTAATGCCCTGAAAAAGGTTGAGCATCTTCTCTGAGTCACTGAAATATTTTATAATTGACAGGCTTCATCTGGCACTGAATATGGATAATTTTCTCCATAAGGAGCACGCTGGGCTGACACTAATCTGTTCTGTTGTCATCTCCCTTTATTATCAACGTCTGCATTGTTTTTTCAGCAGCTCTGAAGAACACAAATAAGAAGCTCCTAATTGAAAAAGCTAAGTAATCAAAAAGCCAATTAATCATCGAGATGAGCTCTGACACCCGGTGATGCAACGCTCAGAAATACCACACAGGCACAGCTGAAGGGGTTTTAGAGTGTGCTCATTTGATGTGAGGATGATCTGAGGATGTAATTAGCATCCCCTGTCACAGGTGACAGACTCACACCGCACGTTCCTCCAGCCTGACACTGCTCCCCCCCAACACCTCCCGTTCCGCCCTTCCCCCTGCTCTGACTCTGCACCTTCCACCCAAATCACGGCACCAACAATCAGCCTCTTACCACGCTCTGTGATTTTCAGGCCTTCCTTTTTTTTTTTGGTAAACCTCTACTTCCACCCCGATTTTCCCAAAAAATCCCAGCCTGGGGAGCTCCCAGATGAACCTCAGTGAGGGCTGCAGGTCCCAGCCTTGCAGAAGGTGGAACTGCAGAGTCCATGACCCCTCTGCTTCTCCAGGTTTCTACTCCCTGATCTCCACACCCCTGAACAAGCTCCAAGTCACATCAGGAGCTCAGGGTTCACCTCCTTTCAGAGCTGGAACAACTCTTTTTTTTTTTTTGTGTAGGACAGAGATGCACTCGCACCCTGACACCAAACCAGGTGACAACTCAAAGCAGAGGGTTTTTAGCTCCCAAATTAAAATTCAGAGTGACAAAAACAAGGCTTGGTATCACAAGAGCTCCACTCTGCAGACGGAGCAAACATCACCCAACATGGTGTGGGAATTCAGACAGGGAATGAATTCCAAACCACCTGCTGGTGGTCCTGGAGAATTCCAAGCCCAGGCAGATGGGCAAGAGGTGGCAGAGCTGACCTATTTCACAGCACCAGAGGGGGGTGACACTCCAGAAGAACTCAAATAAAGTGATTTAAAGGTCGTTACCCCCCCTTGTACGTTTTTATACACATTAAAACACAACTCCACATTGGAAGCCTTCACTTCTCAGGAGCAAGAGAAGGCCCTGGCATCAGCAACCCTCTATTGACATCAAAAATAACTAAGAATAAAACCTTAACTTTCTGAACAGGGCCTTCAAAAGGTAAAAAGAAAAAGCTTCCCAAGACCCCTGGTTTTATCACACACCCTTTGCCATCAATCACTCCAGGTTTCCTTGCACCACACACTGAGAGCACGGGTACAAACCACCCCAAAAGACACCAGTTTGGCTGAGAAACCTGCAGGTGCTTTCCCTCCCCCCACCCAAAAAACCAGCCAGTTCATTCAGAATGAGGAAGGTATTCTGTGGGGTTTTGTTGTGAAGGATCTTAATCTGTAGCTGTTTAAATAATGCACCGATTTAGAACCATTAAACTAATTTCCCCTCATCCTTTCAAACTCTTTTTCATTGCCAAGAACATGGGACTTCATTAATGTCATCTTCAAAAAGGCAGGACAAAGCACTGAGATGGTATCAGCTATGCCCTCTGCTTAAAATATTCATTAAGAGCAATTATACACACTGATAATTCATGCAACAAGCTCCTCTTCCTAATCCATAAAAACAAGGGGGTCTCTCCCAGCCTGCTAAGCTGCACAAATGAATATGTATCTTGTTAATCATTCTCAAAACCAAAAATCCGAATTAATCAACAACAGATAAGCCCAGGAAGGAGGCAGAGGGGGAAAGGAGGGAAATGTATTCAAGGCTGGAGGTTACAAGCAGCCTGGGAGCTGGAAAATGCTGACAGCAGTAATTATCTGAAATTAAGATCCCATAAAATAACAGCCCGTAAAGAGGGAGAGTGTTAACAGCAATATGTTAAAGCACGTCCCACAGCCTGCCAGGGTGTTCTGGGCACTTGAATTCCAGGTTCACTGGGAGAAAAAGGGCTTTTTAAAGGGGGTGTAAACTCGGGATTAGCACCAAACTCTCCACGTCCTGGCGGCTTTCAGGGGGGATCACCAAACTCCACCCAGTGGAAGCAGAAATTCCCTCAGTCCTTCCACCCTCCACAAGGAATTTTAAAGGCTGGTGGGTGACATTTATTCACTTCCACTGGCCCTTCATCAGTGCTGGTATAAAATAACCCCGCTGTTTGATTTCTCTTGGAGGTAACTCCTGTGACTGATGAAATCTCACTGCAAACGGGAGGAACTCAGTAAAGAAAATATTCTCACCACCAAACTTCCCATCTTGTCAATACTGAGCAGTTCAGACAAAAAAAAAACCTCCTCTGGCCACCGTTTTAACCTTCCCCCCCTTAAAAAAGCCATCCTGTTGAACAGTAAAACACAACCAGGGGGAGGAATGGACCAGAAAACTCCTCGTAAAATGGAAAATAAAAGGCTTTACCCTCTCCTCGAGCCGAGCCAGCTGCTCTTTGTAGTAGGCATCGTGTTTCTTCAGCTCCCTGTCCTTCTCCTCCAGCTGCCTGGCCTGACAAAAAAAAAAAAAAGCAGCAGAAATTAAAAACTGGATCAGAGATATTGGCTACTGTGCTTTCTTCTCCTTCCCTCCCCAACAGCTGGGCCAGAGTTTGTCCAAATGGATTTGGAAACGTCACAGAAACGGAACCGAACGGGCCAGGCTGGGA